AATATCTTGGGAGATGTGTATATAACCACTCTCAGATACCAATGTATAGTACATTTGGGACTCAGGACCCAGTTTTGGGGTCTTGTTCACTTGCTTTCAAACCACATAGCTTAGCTTAATTTATGTCTTTTTTATCGATGCTAGATGTTAGATGTTAGAGATGACAGTGTCAGACACCAAGACTTTGGTCCAGAGTGAAATATCTTGAACCATTGGATAGATTGTCATGAAATTTGATACATTAGCAGTCTTCATGTGAATAATGGCAGAAACTATTGCTAACATTGCATGCTAATGTGTTAACATTTAGCCCATGTTTAGGTAGGCTTTACATGCTGAACATTAAAATGTTGCTTGCCAAAATTCAAGATGTTAAATGTTAAAACAATAGTTGTTAATATGCAAATTCTTGTGTAATAATGCTAGCATTCAGCTCAAAGCTTCCAGCAACTTTGTTGTCTAGTAGGTAATGAGCATCACAGCTTCACAGTACCACTGCGGCTATAGTCTTGTGTAATAATTGTGGTCTTGATGTGGACTGCTTTCTTTATTGAAACGCCCAGTCTCACTTGTTTTGATTATCCACATCCATAAGTGTTCCTCTAAGAACTGCTTCAGATTGATAGAGCTTATTGAGGTTGATGGAGAAAAGGTTGCTCCTGAGCGCAGCTGCAACAGTGTAATAATAACTGTCCTGGTGCCACTGTTGTTTATACAGAAAGGATTCTTGGCTAGTGTTGCCAACTAGACTTGACTTATCAGAATAAACAGAAGGTCATTCCTCACTGTGCAAACCAGATAACAGGGATGTTGTTGACTTCAATCCTAAATGGGAATTAGATCTCCAACATAATTTATTTATAAATGCAGGCATTATTATAATGTTAGCTATAGAGCTATACACTGTATATACTGTATGTAGCAATTAGTCAGTAGGGGTTTTCCTTTCACTCTTTACCCTCTCAGACCTTGAAACAGACTTCCCTTTGGTTTACTTCTTCTCCTCCTGCCAAGTTCAAAGACAACAGCAGCTTCCAGAGAAATTGCTATTGATCGCTATATTTACCATCCCAGCCCATCTCTTTGGCTGCGAGTGTCTGTCTTGAGTATCTAATGTGAGCCTCATGTTACAGCATATTATAATGCATCTTTTCCTAACAATGTCATTCTTGTTGTTCTGTTTCCCTCCCCTCTCTCTCTCTCTCTATATATATAAATTACTCTTTCCTTCTTCTCTATATTTCCTTGCAGGGATGCATTCGTGCTGGCCATCATTAACAGCGGAACCAGTTTCTTTGCAGGCTTTGTAGTGTTTTCTGTGCTAGGCTTCATGGCTGCAGAGCAAGGCGTGGACATCAGTAAGGTAGCTGAGAGTGGTAAGAATACAGATTCCCCATGATTTAGCCGCCTAAAGGCCAGTGTAATGAGCTGAGTGTTGACAGTGAGAGCTATACTGTATGCCCTTGATACTTGCTTCTCACTCTGTGTCTTAATGTGCAGGTCCAGGCCTTGCCTTTATAGCCTACCCCAAGGCTGTGACTCTGATGCCTCTGGCGCCGCTCTGGGCAGCTCTTTTCTTCTTCATGTTGCTCATACTGGGCTTAGACAGTCAGGTAATACTTTAATCTATACCATATACTATGTATCCACTTTAGCTTTAACATAGAGGAACTGTATGCTAATTTAAGGTAGTACCTGTTTCTATATTTTGCTGTCTTTTTTATCCTGTAGCACTTAATGTAGAGTAGATATAATAGCCAATCTACATTTCTGTCTCTATTTTCCCTCTCACTTCCTCTCACAAACAGTCTAGACACATCACGTCCAGTTTTAGCATTGCATTTCTTAGCAGCCTGTTTGTTGTGTGTCTGTTTGAGCCAGTGCCTACATCCATTGTTTTACAGCCCAGGGATTTGTCAATGAGCTTCTGTCTGATTCACACAGAGAGCGTCTGTCTGCTCTCCAATCCATTCATTTACTCTCACTTTCCATTCTCTGCCTCATTTCTTCTCCATCCATCTCCCTCTTTTTCCTGCCATAGCCACATTGCTCATGCATGTGCTGCCATTTCTAGTAAATTATGTAAAAATAGCTCCACAGCTGAACTCATTTTGGAGGCTGAAATATGTTTCTGCAAAGAAACACATAGTGTTCTTGTGTTGGGAGACTGAGGAGCGGAGTCTGAGCAGACATGCTAACCTGCAAAATCTTAGTGTTATGTCAGGTGCATCTGCGGTTCAGTGCATCTGACATACAGTATGTTGATTGGTTGAAAGGGACGGTTAGTGGGGAGTCAGCAACAGTGAAATTCTGTGTATGATTCTTAACCATTTATTTTGATTTCCTTGTTTTAAGTTCACATTTTCTTCCTGGATATTTTTGTTTGCTATATCCAACATTATCATCTATTGAACACAGAGATGTTATTTGCAAGCATGGTATGTTAGTAGGTCACAATGCAAATTTCTGTGCACACATCCATGCATGTTCACACACTCAGACTTCAGTCCACTCTTGGTCTGTCATTCATTTTTCCCTTCTCTCTTCCTCTCTGCTATCTCTCCACTCTCTTCTTCAGTTTGTAGGGGTAGAGGGGTTGATAACGGGAATCATGGACATGCTACCGCCTACATCTGTCCTGGGCTCCCTGCGCCGAGAGGTGGTAGCGGCCATCTGCTGTGTCATCTGCTTCCTCATCGACATGTCCATGGTCACTGAGGTACAGTGAGGATTTCCCAGAGTTTCAGACCTCATGTGGTTGAATTCTTCACAATTATGTGGGATACATAGTCATTTTTAGACAGGCAGATTATAACACAACAAACTTTAGGGCTGAATATGACGCCATTCAGAAACTAGATGAAAGGCCACAGTTTCTTACCTGAGTTTGACATTGTTTCCAAATTATTTTAATGATTCTTTGATTGTGTAAATCTTAATTGGGCTCTGGAAACCATTGCCATGACTGAACTGAGATGAAAGCTGGAGAAGCGGTGGAGACAAGGCTGTAAATAGGTCACACATAAAGTATTCACAGCATATTCTTGATGACTGCTCTCTTTGGCTCTGTCAGGGAGGGATGTATGTCTTCCAGCTGTTTGACTACTACTCTGCCAGTGGCATCACTCTGCTGTGGCAGGCCTTCTGGGAGTGTGTGGTGATTGCATGGGTCTATGGTGAGACGACACTGCATAATTACAATACAAACAACACAACCCACGCACAATTCATTCATTCATTCATTCATTCATTATCTCATCATTTTTATTTCATCCCCGCCAGGCGCAGACCGTTTCATGGATGACGTAGCTCGTATGATCGGCTATCAGCCCCTACCCTGCATGAAGTGGTGCTGGTCCTACATCACACCTTTTGTCTGTGTGGTAAGTGTTGCTCTGTATGTTTTTTTATAAGTTCAAATAGTTGAAATTAGCTGACGTATTTGTGTGCAAATAGGGAGTGTTCCTGTTCCACGTGGTGAACTACAAGCCCCTGACCTACAACACAGTGTACACATACCCCTTGTGGGGTGAAGCACTTGGCTGGGCATTGGCTCTGTCCTCCATGCTCTGTATCCCCGTCACTGTTCTCTACAAACTGCTGCGCTGCAAAGGATCTTTGCGGGAGGTCAGTATGCCTGGGTGCAAATGTGCGTGTTTGCACACATTCTCTTGTGCTTGTGTGTCTGTTTGTAATTGTCGATAAATCAGTAGGAATGTGTCTCCTTGGATACCGACCTCCCTCTGCTGTTCGTCATTTGGTTTGCTGATTTCATCATTACTCATTAGAGAAGGCTGAAGCATGAATCCAATAAACAGCTCATCATGTCCCTGTCTTTGTCTATGTAGCGGTGGCAGCACCTAACCACCCCAGTCTGGGGCAGACATCACCTGGAGTACCTGGCCCCAGAGAGCGAGGCCAAACTGCTGCCCCCTGCAGGAACCAAGAATACGCTTCTCTTTGAGAGTGTCATCTGATAAAGCTGAGCCCAACAGAACACAGACCCAAGGTCGCCCTTGACATCAGCACACAAATACACAAACACACAAACTACTCAAAATACATGCAAACCACATTGGCCCGATAAGAGCAAAGTGCAGATTAGTTACGCACCCCACAGTTTTAAAGCTATGGAAAAGCCCTGGACAAATGGACCAAAGATTAGATGGGAGAAGAACTGAAACACACCAACATCTATACAGTCATCACAGGCTGATATTCCCTCTGCTCTGCTTTCTGACTCTACCTCGCTGACTCTCCCCTCTCTTTCCGCTCCCTGCCTTTGTGCTGTCCCGTCCCGTCTTGTTCTGTAAGTGTGATGTGTCCAGTGTAGTTGCAGTATCTTCCCTTTCTGCGCCTCTCTGTTAGGGTTTCAACAGCTTCATCAGTCCCAACATGTCATGCTATTTTGTTGTGAGTGAGCAGAACCTCAAAATATTCTGGTGAAACTTTCAAAATGAAAGACCTCATATCTGCTGCTGATATGCCATGGTCTGAATGGGAGTGTGGATGCTGGGTATGTGTGTGTGTGTGTGTGTGTGTGTGTGTGTGTGTGTGTGTGTGTGTGTGTGTGTGTGTGTGTGTGTGTGTGTGTGTATGTGTTTGCAAAAAGGAGTGTGTGTTGGACCATGGCAGTGGTGTCTTCATTTACATGTAGCATTGCATTTGACCATTGTTTTCTGCCAACTGTATTCTCTTAATTAACTGTACAAAAATAACTTCCATTTGTAAAAAAAAAAAATAATAATCAAAAAGAGACGATGCATCACCACTTCCAGCTGTGTGTTATGAACTAACTTAAGTATCCAGTGTATTGTAGGGTCTGTGAATCAGTGTTAACAATATTTGGAGGGGATGACGATCAGTATTTCCACCTTAAGAGAAGGAGAGAAACTTTAGATTGAACTGTACAAAGAGCAGGAGACGGGCTTGTGGGGAGGGGGAAGAGACCTGATGCCATGAAAGGAAAGAAGCAATAAATGACCAGATAAGGATGGATGCTATGTGTTTTTGTGACTCTTTATTTACATGGTCTCATTCATTTTTATTCATAAAACACACTGTGGATATGTACAGAAAGTATCCTGCTTCAATCTCATTAAATATGTTACACCTTTACCTGTATAAAAATAAACTCCTAAGAGATATTTGATAGTTTAACATTTATAAAGTAGCTAACTAGAAGTGTTATCAGTCAGTGAACACATTGTTGTGCAATAGGCACTCTCAAGGAAATGTGTTTTTCACTTGACATTGTTTACATTGGAGTGGTTAATCCAACGAACTAATAATGGAAGGACCCCTTACATACTGCAGGTAGATCATTTATTTCTGGTGGTCAGCCACTGTGTCAGGAAGCCCTGACATCCCACTTAGTCCGCTGAAAAATAGCTCTGCACTCATGAGCACTCATTTTTCCAATCTACAAAATTGCACATAAATGCATCTGTCTTGCAGACCTTCTAAATGTTTATTGCTTTCACATACATTTCTGAAAGTAAAAAAAAAATATATATGGCTGGGGAGCAAATATAAATGGGTGGGCTATCCAAATCAATTACATATATGTGAAACATGTAGCATACGTTACAACACAGTGCTTGGCAAATGCTAGATAGTTATGATAGATGCAACACGAGACTGGATCCCAAAAATAGCAGAGCTTCAGATATCAGAGGAATCAGACGTGTGAATACTGACTATAAATACACCCGGACTGTGTTTAAAAGCTGCTGCTCTGTGAAAACGTAACACCTATTATACCACATCTGCAATTCAGCTCTTTGATGAAGGATTTTGGAGCAAATAGGTTGTAATGTAAGAACTAAGAACCCTTCCCAGAGGGAATGGCCTGGCCATATCAATGACAAATATTTACATTCTATTGATTTATTATGGAAGACGTCTGGCTTTCCTTTTCTAAAGGAACAGGAGGGCCACTTGCATTGATTCAAGGATATAGATTGACAGACAGACATATACACACAAACATCTTTTTCCGTCTGTTTACAGCAACACCTCAATATATGTGAGTTTCCCCTTACAGTCAACCTTTCAGTCACTCTCTGCTCTCTCACACAGGCTATAAATACAGACTCCTATTAGTCCAATGTTACATTCTCCTACTCAACCCCCGCCCCTTCTCTGTCTCTCACACACTCACCACAGAGCGAGAGAGCTGCAATGACGTATTGCTGGCTATCTCATTAGGCGATATCATAAAAAGCCTGTTGCCACAGCAACGGCTCCCTGTATTTCCATGGCAACCAGCCGCCATGTCAAGGTGGTGCATTCAGAGACAATGACGACCAGTAGTGAGCAATGGAACAGCCAGTAGCCCAAGAAAGGGAGGAGGAGGAGGAAGATGGCGAGAGTTGGAACAGTCTGACCCCTAATGGTTACATCTGGGTGTTGCAGGAAACATCCTGAAAAAATGAGGAAGGTTATGGGATAAATGGAGGAAAATTTCAGAATATATACCAGTAATGATAAGTGAGTAAAGGTGGAGGATCTTAGAAGTGTCATGAATAGTCATAGTGATGAACGTACAAGTATGAAGTCTGTCTGCCCCCGTTTCTTGAGAATATGAAGCACTGCATCATGAACTGTGACAAACAACCGGCTTTTTGGGATGGACTCTGAGAAGAAACCTGCAGTTTCCAGCTGCTCCACGACGCAGGCTAAACAGATAGAAAAGCATGCATGACAATGAGAGACCATGAGAGGAAAAGCATTTTGTGATTATAGAAATAAATATTTATGTTTGACTGACATGTCGGACAGGGAACGATGTGGCGCCGCTGAGGCTGGGACCTTGATGCATTCACTATCTGAAGTTTCACCGCCTTGACTCTACATTAAGGACGTTAACTTTGTCTCTGTTTTTGTCTGGTGTGCCACTCACCTTGGCAGCCTGCTAGATAGATGTCCAAATCAATCTCCTCAAAGTCCCTGAAAATCTGGCAGAAAAAGATAGACACTTTGTCTTTGTCTTCTTTCTTTAAGAAAATAATTAAAGATGAACCTGTATGCTTAGCAAAATATCAGGAAATTACATGTTAACGATGTCAAACCACTTACATTTTTCAGTGTATTCACAGTGACTGTGTCCACAAAGCTGGTTGTTGAAATGTCCAAGATGATGCTGTGTGTGCCTGATCCGCAGGCCCATCCTTCCACGTCATCACCATAGTGGGATTCCTGGTTGATGCTGCCATCGCCGGGGCAACCGGTGTCCGAATCCGAGTCCAGCATGGTTTTGTCATGTTGGTAAGCCCAGTTCACTTGTCCTTTACTGAGGCTATTTGTAGAGGTCTCTGTCAGGCTTAAGGCTGGACCATTCCCTTGAATCTGTCCGCTCAATCCTGGTGAGACTTTCCCCTCATTCATCTCTAACTCCTTCAAAGAGAGTGTGCCATTGGACAGGTGGCTGACTGCTTTTTTCTTTTAGGTTGAAAAAGTGGAAACAACTATTAGAAACTTACGAGTTGAAATTTTTAAGTGACTGGTTTCATTTAAGGTGTCTCTGAATGTGTCATTTAGGATATCATACTTGTTTCTTTGCCTTCTTTTTCTCTTTCTTTTTCTCTTTCTCTTGTTTACGCTTCAGCTCGGCGTCTCGTTTCTTCTTTGCCGTCAGCAGCTTCCCGATTTCAATTCCACTCTGCACAAAAAGCCGAGCATCACATTAAAGAGAGAAAAGAGAAAGTGAGACGAGCGGGAGAGATAATGAAAGCAATTAAGGCTGCTGTAGACGGCAGACAGAGATTACATCCTGTAATCAAATGCAAGCCAGCACACAAACACACACACCTTCTCTTGCAGGGCCTCCAAGTACATCTCAGCATTTGTGTAGTAGATAGTTGTAGAGGAACGGAAGATTTTAATTCCTGGAATCTCTTTAGCCTGCAGGGACACATCATGAAGTAGAAGAGGTCAGGAACTCACACCCAGCTCTGCTCTCGTTTGCACTTTCTATCTCCCCCATGTATTGTTCGAGTGAATGGAGCTTTCCCACCACTGATGATCTTACTATATCCACAGAGTGTTCCTCTAAAAGGGTCGGCTCACCTAAATTACGGCAGAGGCTGATGGGAATGTCAGTAGTTTAGCAGGTATTTTGTCATAAACGAAAGCACAAATTTAAATTTTGATGGTGTTAGATGAAAAGTTAAGGGATCACCAACATTATTACAACTCACCCAGAGCCGGACATGAATGTCTGTGCTAAACCAATCTGACAATCTGTCTATTAGTTGAGACATTTCACTTAAAACTACAACTACAATGGTGCACTTAGAGGAAAGGTGAGGAGATCACCAAGTCAGTGATTAGGATTCACCCTTTGTGGATGATGAATGTCTGCACTAAATTTCATTCCAATCCATCGAGTAGTTGTTGAGATTTTTCAGCCTTGTGGACCAAACCTGCCGTCCCTAGAGACATGACACTAGCATGGAGAAAAAAAATTCAATGGCAATATCAAATTACTTTCTAAAGGGAAATGAAAACTGCTGTCAGGGAGCTCTGTAGATTATTAACTGGGACATCTGAGTTACATTCACCACCATTTTATGAAGTGGCAGTAGAAGTCTTACAGGACGATAACTCTTAAACTGAAAAAATGAAACCTAATGACATCTACATGGCTAAATAACACAAGAGGTAAGTGAGAAAAGAAATATTTTTATAATTTGAGTGACCCGTCCCTTTAACTTTCAGTGAATGAATATCACTAAAAGTTTCTTACCTCCCTGTAGGAGTCCGTGTCCAGATACAAGTCAGTGCCTGACACGTGGCCCAAGATAGCGTAACGGGGTCTGAAAGGTATTAAAATGACAAAATTACAGCAATAACTGCCCTGCGCCTCTGGGAACATCTCATCAGAATCTTTCATTATGTTTGCATATATATCGATGATTAATAATTAGTAGTAATATGTAGTTACAGTTGTGTCCTGAAGATGAACGTGAGCATGGAAAAGCCAATGGAGACGGCCAGACCCAGGTCCAGATTGAGCAGGATGGTGCTTGTGAATGTCACCAGCCACACCAGCTAGAGGGCAGCATAAACACTAACAGTCAATGAGGTCATCAGTGATGAACGGTTCACACAGTATTTAACTGAGCAGAATGATTCTTAAAGAGGATTTAGTCGTACCAGATCAACCTTGTTGGTCCTCCACAGCTCAGGTATGTCCATGAACTGCTTAAACATTCCTTTCAAATTCACAAACACTATGGTAGATAAGACAGCCTGAGGAGCACATACACACACACACACACACACACACACACACACACACACACAGATGTTTTCACATATACCCACAGCCTTATTGGTTATTAAATTGTCTGCCAGGAGAGATACTGGTCATTAGCAAGAATTGGTACAGGGAGGAGGGTGTTACCTTTGGGAGATCTTCAAAGAGAGCACCTATTTTCAAAACCGTGATCAGCACAATGACGGAGGAAATCACTCCTGCAACCTGATAAAACACACACACAAAGACACACACACACACACACACACACACACACACACACATACACAGTGATTGTACAGTAAATGGTCTCTAGTTGAACATATGAATTAGATGTAATCAGATGCTGGTATTTGTGCTGTTTGTGCACATATCCGTGTTTACTTGTGTCTTTCCCCCTGTGCTCTCCTGAACGAGGCTGCGAGACAAGGAGGAGGTCACTGAGTAACACTGGAAAAATCCACCGACAGTGTTACTCAGACCCAGAGCAACCAGCTCCTGGAAAAAGAGAAAAAGCAAGACAGGCACAGTTTGAAGGAAGAACGTGTACATTTAGGCTGAAAAACAGATGACCTTTGACATTAATCCTGACATTTGATGGCTATTAATACCTTGGCCTTTAGTGTCAGGAGTCTGTGACCTTCAGGTGAATAACATCAGTGTAGTGTTTTTTTATGGCAATGTCAACACATCACTGCCACTCTGAGAGCAGTGCCAAGCATATTTAAGACACACTTGATTGCATAAAGCTTGTTGGGCATTAATGATTTAGCAGGCCAGCTCTGAGAGGCTGTGAGTGCTCCCAGCCCATCTCTCTCCGGAGCAGAATGATCCCAGTCACATGCCTCCGCAAGTGTGTGTGTATGTGTGAATGCTGTAAGTGTGTGTGTGTTGCAGACAGAAGTAAGAGCTGAAAAAAAAAAAAAAAATCTGTGCATACACATGTGCAATGTAAAAACAGAACTGTGGAGAAAGTACAAGTTTTGCCTTTGTGTGTTTCTATTTTCAGGAGAGCATTAATCAGTTTTTTTCCAATAACATGATGGCATGACCTGCTGTACCAGCAAAAGGGGAAACAACGCAGTTTAATCTCAGGCTGTGGTTTGGCATAAAGACTGAATAATCAGAGGAGATTGCATAAGCAAACAAGAACATATTTGCATCTCCATGACAGAGGGGAATGATGATAAAAATTTCTGTAATATCTGTGATCCCATTTATACCTACTTGTTTTCATAGAAATGTCTCTTCATTTCCTTCTAACGTTTAACCACATCTCATTAACCTTTGTCATACACATAAACCAAGTAACCCCGAGGGAATTTCAGTTGCTATTTCACTGTGAGGTGAATCTTCTATTGCTTTGTCACATAGTGTTATGCACTAAGAAGAGAAGTTTGAGGCTGTATAACATTTAGAAATGCATTTGTGTAATTACTGGCATAAATGCATCTTTGCCCAACTCCTTGAGAGGTTTGGGCAATCTAGTTTCAGTCAGTCATTACTTTTAGGATGTAATCCAGACATCAATGATTTCCTAAATCATTAATATATTCTGTTTGAAATAATGGAAAATCATTTCACAAAAGGAAAGTTGCCGTTTGTAAACAATGCTGTTGAGAAACAGTCACAAACTTACAGTAAAATAAATATCTGTTCTTTATACTTTAAAAACAAGAGACAGTAGCAACTGAAAAATGTGCCGAGCTTCTGATTGGTATGACATGAAAGTATTTTTGTTGTTGCTTCTGTCACACTTGTGCAGTCTCAGTCTGAGATGAAAGAATTTCCTGCTTTTGTAATTCATGCCAATAAAATACCTGAATTGAATTTATTTGAAATGAACTAAGCACCAGAAACAAATATGCACAAAAAACATAGCACTGTTAAATTATTCATGGCTATGCTACTGGGGTGCGGCTTGAACCAGGTTGTTTTTTACAGAATAATTTTTCCACTGATGTGACCGTTATGACTAACTGCGAGCAGAGAGTAAAGTCTAATATTAGGACAAAGTTTGGCCTGTTAGCAGTGAGTCAGACAGGAAGAGGGACTCCAAGTATAACTCTCACAGCTTTTTGTGAGAAGCACAGTGTGTCTCTGTGTCTGTGCCTCACCTGGTTGCTATCCACCTTGTAGCCATGTTTGAGGGCAAATGTTTTGCCGAGGGAAATGTTGATGGCGTAGCCCACAATGGCCACGGCAAAAGCATCACCTATCACCTGTGAGAACAAAGTGGTATCTGGAGCTCGAGGGGCCTTGAGCCTGCAGCAGGAGGAAAAAGATGAATGGTTCAGGCTTTTATCACTGTTACTACGTACAGCACAAAGAGTCCTGACACAGGACAGCTCACAGTTCCCCTGAAGCTGTTAAAACCTCTTGACATTAAAAGATATTTAACTAACAGGCTTCTTGCCAGAGTGAAACTTTTAAACTCCAGCAGCCTCTTGCACTTTGCACATGCTGTAGCTTCTTTGTTATTGTTATAGATTTTTTGGAAGCACATTCTGCAGCTGGCAGACATATTAACCTTTTCAATAATTTAGAAACACACCCATCTTTCAACCTTTGTTTTTGCAAAAAAAAAAAAAAAGCAAAACAAAACAAAAAAATGGCCTAACCAGAATTCCACGAATATCACATTAAGAGCAAACTAACACCCTGTGACCCAGTTTCTTTGTAGGATGTGTCATAACACCTCTACATATCAGACAACCAGGAAGTAGGGGGCTTTTCTGTCTTGAAAACAGTTTGTCCTCAGTTTCACCTCCTCCCTCCTCACTTTCTCTTTCTGTTTTGTCCACACATACACACACATTTCATACACACAGACATGAACTTACCCACTGGGTATCTCTCCAACCACATCAATGCTGTATTTACTTGTAAGTCCACAGAAGTGGGTGATGATTGTTGCTGCTATGATCTGTTGAAAAAGGGGTAAAAAAAAAACAATGTTAGTTCAGTAAGTGGAGGAAATCATTACTTTGAGCACATACAGTGTAACCCCTTTTTTGGCAACTGTAAAACAAGGTCACCAGTCCTTCAGTCTAGTCGGATCTCTGTGGTAAAGATGCCACCTGCTGGAATATTAGGTGAACACACCTGCTGCATGAGTGAGAGAGGAAAGACAGAGGAAACGGCAAAGGGAGGACTCACAACTATGAGCTCTATGGGGATGGGCAGAGGCAGCTTCTGTCTGTAGCAGGCATTGAGTTCTTTGACCACAATGAGAACAGAGAGCGCCACCAGGCTGACCACCAGCTCCGGCACCTTGGTCTGAGGCAGCAGTCGGCAAATGTCCACCAGAGTCTGTGGAAGAGAGAAGGAAGGAACAGATGGAGAACATTGGAAATCAAATTAATGCATCTCTCACGGAGAAAGCTATAAAATGGAAACAGTTTTAATGGTGATTAATAAATTTGTTTAAATGAATATGAGTTTAAATATCAAGTTTTCACTTGTGTGAACAGATGTAACATCAAGAAACATGAAGTTTAATGTTGCCACAGATTCAGTAACATTTTGGTTAACAAGTTTAGCCTGTATTGATTTACATTTTGGAAAAATCATCATCCCTGAATTAGCTGTTAACAATTACTTTCTGCTATCTATCATTGGATGTACTGTTGTAACGTTGATAGTGATGAAATCTTAAAAACTTGGTGATTCTCTGAAGGATTCCTCCCCCTTTAGACAACATTATCCCGAAATCATGAGATATTTTTCTCGTATTTTCTTATTTACGAGACATATGAGATCTTTTTCTCTTAATTATGAGATAGTCAGTCATAAGCATGAGATGTGGGAGTCATAATTGCGTGATGAGGTTCCAAAATGTCTTTCTTTTGTTAATGTAATATGCTTCCCTATGACAAAAAAATTCAAATCCATCAGAGAAGTAAAAGCTGCAATACCACATGGTAAAATGTCAGGACCTCTGCCCAGTGACACATGATTGTTTGGAGCGGGTGTTCTTTTCTTTATTTTCAAACTTAGTGTGGATGTGGTGTGCTTGGTGCGTTTTGGTTTTGTCTGTCTCTCTCTGTTTTTATCCATGGGCGGCGCCTTCCTGGTTCCTGGCCTGGCACTCACACTTGACCCTCATCTGTAATCAGCACACCTGACCTCCATCCACCACTCAACTCTGCAGTATATAAAGCCAACCCTGACATCCAGTCCCTGCTGGATTGCTGTGCTGCACCTTGTTTGTTTGAGCCATGTATTCTGCCCTAAAATCTGTGATAGACTGTTTTTATGACCTGCCAGCCAATTTTTAAAGTGTCTCAGAACCATAATCTGGTAAACACTTGTTGCAGTCAAAGCTAAAACTAAACACTGTGAGCTTTCTTGTCTGTATCCATATGTTGGTTGCATAATACATGACATACTCACATAGATAAGGGAGAGAGGACCTGTGAATCGAGACGGTGTGACTCCAAACAGGTACTTGAGCTGTGAGACACATACATGACATGCTGATCCTGTAGTGTAGCCTCGAACCAGCGGCTCAGACAGGTACGTGACCACGAACCCAAACCTCACCACACCTAACAGGATCTTAAGGGTGGAAGAAAACAGAGAGAGTCGGTTAAACGTAGTGAAATATGACCTGTTGAGTTATTCAGTACCTCAGTACAGCCACTAAAAGTTTTCAGTTTGGTCAAAATGGACACCCGAATAGAAACACACACCTGAAAGATTCCTGCCAAGACTGTGAGGGAACATGCTATCTGTACTCTGAAGGCATCCCGATCATCGACGTTCACAATGTCTGTCCCATTGGTGCCGTTTACAATAAAGTTACTGTCGGGTGCAATCCTCTCTGTCACACTCCCAATCATGATGCTGATCACAGCAAACGTACCTGGACAAACGAAACACGAGCATGTAGATTAACATTTATGCACAAAGACATAAACAATGATCACTTTATCCATGTTAACATCATTTTTTTTTTTTTAAATTTGAATTTCTTTCCTTTTTAAACTCAGCCACATCCACACACTTTCTCACCTATGGAGATGTGTCTGGAAGTACCAAAGATGAAGTAGATCAGCACCGGGTAGAGGGACGTGTACAGGCCGAACACAGGCCGTAAGGAAGCAAGAAGAGCATATGCCATGCCTGGTAAACAAAAAAAAAAAATGAAGGAAGAAACTGTGTCCTTTATTCAAATGATGTCAGTTGAGTTTTTCACATTTTGACTGTTAGAGGAATTGTTTGACATGTTGGGAAAGGTGTTTATTTGCTGTCTTGCTATTTGCTCTCTTGCTGAGAGTTAGATGAGAGGACTGATACCACTCACAAATTTGTGGACTTGCTTGACTAACACTGATAGAAGATTCTATCTTTGATTTGGTATTCATGATTTGAGACTTGACATATTGAAACAGATGACTCATGGACTTGACTATTTTTTATTACACATTTACACTTTGCTAATTTTTTTTTTTTTAGGTAAATTACATTTTGTTTTTGAGACATGATTGGGTGATTTCTAGAGTGATGCCCCCAAACCAGCTCTCATGGGGAGGGGCTAAGTCCAAAAATGCTAACATTTGGACTGCAGGAGGAAAGAGAACATCCTGTAGCACAATGCAGGTCCCACCTAGAGATGTATAGTAATAACTAGAAACTAGAACCTTCATCAACCTCAGTATTAGAATCGCAGCAGATCATCCATCATCCAGATTATAGCAACTCCTGTGTGGTAGCTATCGTCTCTAACCTTCAAGTGATTTTTTTTCCTTGTGATTTTTCTCCAGTAATTCCCTGTGCTCACCCTGCGTATCCTTTGTCATCAGCCTCACCTGCGCCTGTCTCCCTGCTACGGACCCAGAGCCAACACCCAATCCTTCAGGGGTAAGATTCTTCCCTTGCCCATGCCACATCCCTCCACCAAGTTTGGTGCAAATCGGTTCAGCACTTTTTGCAAATAAACAGACATGGGTGAAATCTTAACCTCCTTTGTGGATGTAATAATAATAATAATAAGACTAGTAATACTAATTGCTGCAGTGGGTGGCTTGAAGTCGCAGATCTGGACTACATTGTCACAAAATGTCCAATATCAGTAAGATTTATAAGGTGTAAACAGCTGAAACAGTTTTCATTAATGTTGAATATACAACTAAACCTTTCATGATCACTGTCTTTTTGCTGATTTTGGAAACTGAGGTAGATTGAGGAAGTTTTTTTCACTTAACTCCAAGAAAGAAAGAGAATACACATATTTCCCAACACGTCAAACTCAGCCTTTAAAGTGACAAGTTTGCTAAGTTTGTGAGGTGTGATGTGGATAAACTGTGAGCTCCCTCCACTCTACACATTCATGCATACAAACCCTGCGGCAGATGCATGATGCCCACGCTGCAGCCCGAGATCAGGTCCCCTATAGCATTTTCTCTGATGGAGTAGTGAGGCAACCAGCCAAGAACGGGCACCCAGCTCTGCGCTGTGTGCTTCAGCCTGGGCACAGAACACCTGCAACAGTCATCCCAGAAATACACAACAGTCATATTACTGAGTATGATGTGCTGGGCTCACATGAGGTACACAATTTCACCTTCAAATAATCCACTGAATGTTAAACTGTTCGGGGAGGGTGTATGTCTACATGCACAGTCACCTAACTAGTTAATGCGCAGGGTTAAGAAAAAAACAATTTTGTGGTGATGATTAAAGTCCTCCTGCACTCGTTTATCACTTTTGGTTATTGCTAAGTCACTTGGATGTTTGAGCTTCACTGTGCAGAGTAATGTATGTGCAGGGCTTGATGCTAGAAGGAGTTTTTCATGTTCATTTGATCGATGTTCTCACCTTAAATCTGAGTTTAAAACATATGTGATTGAGATGATTTTGTGGCTTCACAAATAGTTTGGAGGCCAATCAAGTCCAATGTGCAAGTTACACAAGTCTGATATGGAAACTTCCAGTGCACACATACTGAGAATGGACTTTTCAGTGAAGCACGTCCAGTAGTTAAACTTTTGAAATGAGCAATATTTGTATATTTATAGTTTTTGGATTTTTCATTGAGAGAGAAAGAGGAGATTTTACTTTAATTCGGTAACCAAAGTTTCTTGTGGGAGTGTTGTGGTAAGTGTCCTCCTTGCTCATTTGTTGTAAAAACAAAATGACACTTGTGAATTGTAACAGCCGCTACAGTTTTTATCAGCTGGCCTTGTAAAATAGTGATACACTGGATAAGAGCGGCAGGTTAATGTGCTACTGTTCACTTCTAATGACAGTTACAGTGTAGTAGTGGACCCCATGGAGATGAGCTGATTGCCATGGCATCAGCTAACAGGGATCCTTTAAATAAAGTAATAGCGAGAATGTCTGCATAAACAAATATTACTTCTGTTTTACTTAGAAGAAGTCAAGCAACTTGTTAATGTAAGTTCCACAAAGTTTCTTCCTTGTCTGCTGAAACTTTACATGATCATCATCCATTCACAGGAAATATTTGCTCCTAAAATACGTGTCGTGTATGTAATTATGATTGGTTAATAAGTCTTAACAATTATTATTGATGCTTCCAACTAAGTAAAACTATGAACTTCGCTCATTGGTTGCCATTAAATGATGATGCTTTGAGATAGCAAAACAGTTAACAAAGTAAACACACAGCCATTTGCGTGCTCACACACACACACACACACACACACACACACACACACTGTGATGGCTCATTCACTCATTCCTGAGGCTGAGTGAGCAGTTAGAGCCACACATACAGTCACACACAGACAGTTACAAAGCACAATAAAATAAGCTCACAGCCAAACACAAACATACATTGTGTCATTGTGTATGTCTGTCACACCTCCCTCCCCTGTGTCCTCTCCTGTCTATTTTTACCTCAGGGACTCTTTCACCCGTTCCCCAAGGGTTGGTTTGGTGGACCACGTCCCTTTTTGTGCCACTTCATCCAGACGCAACTCATCCAGAACCTCCCTCTGTACAAAATAGTCCCTGGATGGATAGTCCCTCTCCTCCATGTCCTCGTCTGTCTGAGCAAATGCGGCCGGTGAGTCTTTGAACTCCTCCTTTCTGCCTGAGGGTCCTCTCGAATGGAAAGGTCAGCTACAGGTGTCTGTTGCACAACAAAAGCCAGACTCTGTGAAGTGGGAGTGAAGCAACCTCACTGTTCTGTACTGATTGACAGTGGTTATTTCTTCGGCTGTTTTTGGAGTGTGGGAGTGACTGGTGCTTTCCTGCCCTTATAAGAGAACAACCACCTCCCCACATGTGCCTGTTCTGCATACACACACCTGAGGGTATGTGTGTTTGTGTGCGTGTGCCTATAGTGATTAACTTGGTGGGAAAGGCCAGACTTTGGTAAACACTCCAAACTGTGAAAACTGGTAAATCTTGACACTGAGAGACACATTGAAATGCTGCAACTGACAAACACTGTTTAATCCATACAGCAGTGCATATACAAAAACACACACAAACACCCGCTGATAGTTACTTAGCTCTGTGTTACAGATTAAAGTTTGCAGCTTTTCTTTTGGAAATGGCACACTCATCTCTCACTTTTGGAACAACAACAGTTTACTAGATAGGTGTGTGTGTATGCACCAGATTGAAACATCTTATCTTTATGGCTGCCAAACCTTCCTCATTCAGGAGATAAAGTGACAATGTTTTCAGTGTCAGCAGAAAAAACGCTACACATTGTGCTATTGGCATTGCCCAATATCTTTTATGGGATGTTTTTTGGATGATCCAAAAAAAAAAAAAAAAAAAGGTTGATAACTAGCCTAAAATAAGTCTCCTTCCTGATTAATAAAGAGAGATCAGCTGATTTGGCTTTGTATAAGAAATCTGTTTGAATAGTCAAGTTTTTTATTCAATTTAATTAAAACATCTTCCTTCACTAAATCAAATGGTTCAATTTGTTTCATACATGCCCTTACTATTAAAGTGGCATCTGTACAGCCTGTGAATAAAGACAGAGAAAATGCAGGTATCTCCTAACAGCATGAGTCTACATGATAAGGTTCATGCACCAGGACACTCTAAACCTATAACACATCAGGTTATTTTCTCTCACACATACTACGTTGTTTGTGACGATTTACTAAAATGAAATAAAAACAATAAACAGAATCAATGTATAGTTGAAAAATCAAAGAAGAGCGAGAGGTGAAATGAGCTGATTAACAAATAAAAAAATAAACACAGGCCTTATAGATGGAGTATCATACACAATAAGTATATATGTCTCTCTGTATACATTCTATATGTAGGGTCCAATATATCACTTTCATTTTAAAACTTGGTAAATAAAAGCCCATTTACCTTTGAACAAGGTAACCTTATAACACAAATCCATTAGTCACACTCCTGACAGGGCTCCTTCAAATCATTTATTTGATGTTGATGTTAAGCTGGTTAAATTTTAAAAGGGTCTTTGTCAAAATGACTTTCATTATTGATTGAAGTTTATCTTGTTATTCAGACTGTGTGAAAAGAACCGATGAAAGAGACATGAAAAAACTGATAATGAGTGAAAATTAAAACAAAAAAAATCTGATCAGAGTCAGAATCCTGTTGGAACCATTATCTGTTTTGACATGAGCGATTTAAAAATGAAAATAATTAATGGTAAAGTCGTTAACATAGCCAGTCAAATTGCTGTAAAACCTCAGAATGAGCTGAGGTTTTGTATCTTTATTAGAACTGCAGCCTGCACTCAGTAATTTGTGTGACAGGACACACACAATACATACTGTACATGTATAGTAAATGTTCTTCACATCTTTGTGATATCATTAATGTTTCATATGGTCTGTTGTTGTCTTTAGTGGTTTATGTTTAATGGTGTTTTTACAGACAAGGGATGGTTTAAGTTCATGTCAATGGAAAATAAAGTTGTATAGTTGCATTTTATTGTATTTTATTTTAGTCTTGGATAAACACCAAATTCTTTTTTAGATATTAACTACAAAAGCCATGCTACATGCTTCACAATGCCTTTGTCTGTGCTTTAAATGCTTGAGACTATATGTTTGTTGTGGTTTCAGATTTCACTGTTAATGACTGGCAAAGCACTCGCTATCACAGGTTCCCAGTATTTAAGTAAAGGAACAACTGGCTCCCAGGATGAGGTTCCTTGACACGACTGAAATGACTAACAGTAATGGATGAGTGTTGGACATTAACAGTGAACATTCTTGCATATTAACCCTGGTCCCTGTTGCAGGTGTATGTAAATGTATGCTGGTCAAACTCAGGAACATTTTTGATGAGCAAGCACGGCTGAAAGGACAACTAATGTGAACAAAGTGAACCTGCCACACTCTCACTCACATCTCAGCTCACTTACAAATCACACAAAACAGAATCATTTGTTTAATTTTAATTAAAGATTAAACTTTCCGCAGAGTAAACCATTTTAAAAAAAAAGGTGTTAACAGGGTTAAGCATGTACTCTTTGGTCAAGTTTGCACTGGTAATACAACCATTTCGAGTGGCAAAGGCTGGATGTCACAACCAGTTTCCCATTACTTTCAGTCATCTATTTTAACTGCTTACAACTGATGCCTGAAGACTGCGATGTGTCCTGTGCACTCAGCCTATACCATAGCTGGTATTTTGTCAAGTATTTTTTAATGATCTTGTTCTGCACATTGTCCCCTGGGGTCAGAAATCACTTCTGTAGTTTGGTATCCAAAAAAATGCTTGTTATAACTTTTAAAGTAACCTTTCCTATTCATTTTAATTTCATTTTCTTTATATACAAGCACAATGTACATTAATAAACATTTCTGCAAATGTGCCAGTGTTAATTTCCCACTGCAGTCCTTTGGCAAAAAATGTGACATATTAAAAATACATAAACAAATCACACAATAAAAAAAACACAGGACAATAAGATGCTCTGTTTTCAGAGTTATTTAAATGTTTTGTGTTTTCACACTGCAAGTTAAACACAAGGCCAACTGGTTTCATGCATTTTTCAATTTTGTATTTTATCTTTGTGTGTCTGTAACCCCACTATGTCGAATCTGTGTTCTTACATTTTCTGCATATTTTTGTTACGTATGTATTGATTTAAGACCTAATAAAACCAAACCAAACATTCTTACAGTGAGGTAGAAAAAGATAAAGACAGAGAGGGACGAAAGGGAAAAGAGAGGGCACAGTGTGAAACTGTGGCTGTGATTGTTCCCGTCAGAGGAGAGTGGAAATTTTAAATCTCACTGCAGGTTTATCATTATTGAGTGTTTCCTGCTCATAGCTAAACCATAGTGTTTGTTCCTTCAGCTTCAAGTAGTAATTTCAGTTTGATTTAGTGGATTTTTAAACAGAAATTCAATTTTCTCTTTATCCTCAAAATATCTGTTGATCTGAATGCAGGGCAAAACCTGCTGAAACTGAGCAGCACAAAGGTAATATGAAAGAAATTCACAGTGTGTGCAGCATGGGATAAAAGAAATAATAAAGTTGCTGTTATTTTTTGATTGATGTGGCATTAACGCTCTGTGAGACCTCTGAACATAGGATGCTGCCACGCACCTCCTCTCTTGTATTAGGCAAACCTTATCAATAGGTAAATAGCAAGATAAATCATTTAACTGCCTGGATGAAGAGGTGAAGTGTTTGATAACCTGTGAAGCGCTATACATTTTCTCATGCCTGTAAGGCATAGTCAGATTGTTTCCTGACCTAGTTTTTAATAATGGTCTCATTTAGGAATAGTTGAAAAGTAGTAGAAATATATATATAATTGACATTATATGAATAATAGAGCAAACGAAACTTATATATGTTGCACTTTTCAAAACAGAAGTTACAAATTTCTATGGAGAAAAAGATAGTATATACAGAAAAAAATTATTTTCTAGCCATGCTAGCAGCCTATGAAGCTATGTTTGTAGCTAAATGCTAAGGTCAGGTATCAGGTATTTGGTCATAAATCTAAGTCTTGAACAAGTTAAATTTTTTTGACATGATGGTGACACTTAATGAAAAGTCAGGAGATCATCAAATCAATTACAATTTATCCTGAGGGGGACACAAATGTTGGTGCAAACTTTCACGGTAATCCATCCAATAATTTGTGACATATTTCAGTCTGGACCAAAGTGGTACAAACCAACAGCCCAACGTTGCCATTCTTAGAGTTTTGCTCCTAGAAATACTAAAAACAATAAGCGTTATGCTATAAAATGTTCCAAAATGTGCTATAGTAGGAAATTAGCCTCTTTTTTTTTTAGCCACTTTCACTTCATCAGTAGATTAACACTCATGCTCTGTAAACTGAAGCCTTCCTTTTGGCCAAAGGTCCCAATGAAGAACTGGCAGTGTGACAGTACTCTTACTGACACATGTAAGTGAGCATGATTCACATGTTCCCATACACACATCCTGGGCACAGGTGTCACTGATTAATCTGCACTGTCTATAAACTGTGAGGACCATGTTGTTTTGCTGCTGCTGTTGTGCAATGCAGCGCACTCAACTGTACGTGGAAACACTATTAGAAAAGAAACAGCCTGAAATAACCCTGTAATGAGATTCATGTCACCTCCTGTAACCTGTCCAGTAGGCAGACACACCCTCACTATAAAACAATGATCATTTGCATTGTGTGTGTCTTCATCTTTGTGAATGTTTGACTGTGTGTGTTCACTGGTAGTTCTCATCACTTGTCTTGTGAAATGTGCCTCAAAAGGTTAGCTTCAGGCACTTACTGTTTAAAATCTTATGAAAATTTCCTAATCCCTGAAAAAGGCTTTTTTTCTATGATTTTTCAGTTTTTGGTGACATTTTTTTTTCACCTTGGCCACAATCTACATCTTATCTACCATTTAAGGTTATTCACTGAATGAGTCTTTCTTCCATATGACAGGAGTGTTCAACACATGTCAACAACCTGTTAACCTTATACCTCTGATCCTCGCACCTTTTTCATTCTAAACATGGTACAGAGAAAACTGCGTGTCTTTTAAAGCCCAAAATTAATAAAAGTGAAACACTGACTAACCATAAAGACTGTCTGCACAGCAGGTTCTGGAAACCTGAACACACCACAGCACTTACTGGTCTATTTTAAACCTTTTAAACAGTGAGCATGCTATTGCCCCCACTCACAGGCAGCAGATAGCACAGTAAACACAGCACAGACCTGCCAGCAAAAACTAAGCAAAACACAATACAACAGCCTGCAAAGAGCAGTTGAAGATATCAAAGGT